AAAAGGAACCTATTGACCATTGAAAATGTTGAAAAAGAACCTATTGACCCTTGAAAATGTCAAAAAGGAATCTATTGACCATTGAACATGTCAAAAAGGAACCCATTGACCATTGAAAATATCAAAAAGGAACCCATTTACCATTGAAAATGTCAAAAAGGAACCCATTTACCATTGAAAATGTCAAAAAGGAACCCATCGACCATTGAAAATATCAAAAAGGAACCCATCAACTATTGAAAATGTCAAAAAGAAACCAATTGACCATTGAAAATGTCTAAAAGGAGCCCATTGACAAGGAACCAAGTCAAGTGGTTTTGTTGACTCTTGTGTGCTTCGCACACAATAGGAATTTTCGTGGTGAGTGCTTCTGCTTCTGTGTGTGTATGCTTGTTCCACTGATATCTCAAGAACCAATTATGAGATTTTAATGAAACTTGGTACATAGATGCTCTTGGAGATAGTACTTGATTAGTTTTTGGTTGAAGTTTATGCATATTAATTACCTAATTTGCATATTAGTAATGCCAATTACACTTGTTTACACTTGTTTCTCGTGTACTACGCAGTACAGTATTCCTTATTTGTACTTTAATACCTTCAACACACAGGAGCATTCTTTAATTCCTAGAGGAATGGCGCAGGGCACCAACATTAAATTAATGTTTTCTAGGTAGAGTGTAAATGAATTTAGGGTCTTTACATTGAAAATGGTACAAGTGAAGCAGTAAAGCGAAATCAGGAAGGCCAAAGAAGCTCATTCAAAATAAACTCATGGATAACGTCTCACGGAGCAGTTGTTTCACTTCGCTCAAGTGTTAACAGCTATAAATGTCAATTAACAGCCAGAAATTCATAAAACTTTGTTCACTTTTGATTAAATAGTGTTAGTTTCAAATGTTACTTAGTATTATCATGTGATTAATTAATTAATTATTTATAAAGACATTTCATTTGGACAGAAAATCATAGCAAGACAAAGACAGTTGGGGATAAAAATATCTTTATCTCCTGTACACAATGTCCTCATTTCATTTTTACATGCTAAATAATAAAAGTCTATGGATACTGAAAACCATTCATTTCATTATTATAATTTTAAAATGTACCAACTGTAAACACGGATATTACATGGCCTGCACTCTTCACTGTAAAGTATTATATACTTCCTTTGTAGTTACTATACTTCACTGATTTACCATTTCTTTAATAATTAGTTACCGTTCGGAGGAAGTTCGAAAATGGGGACTTATAATTCGGTCTTTGTCTGTCTGTCTGTCTGTGTGTCTGTCTGTCCAGAGTCATGTTTCAGAATCCTTTGGACCGATTCCGTTCATTCTTTGCATGTGTCTAGTACTTTATGTGGGACATATGCACATGCAGTGGTTTAACGATTCGATTCAAAATGGCCTACTGGCAGCCATCTTGTTTTTTGATAATGTTGTGTTTTGGACATGCTTTGTCAGTTTTCATTCAAATTTGGCACATACTTTATACATGTAAGGATACATGTCCATGACAATTTGTTTCAAAATCGAATGGCCGATTGACAGCCATCTGACTTTTTGGCCTTACTACTATATTTCCAAGATTTATGTACAATTTTCATTCGTATTTGGCACATGCGTCGTACATCATGTCACTTTGTTTCATAATCAGATCAAAGATGGCCGAATAACGGCTGTTTTTATTTTTGGACATATTACTATATCTGTGTCACCATGTATCATTTTCATTGTTATTTAGCATGTCATAAATGGATACATGTACATTCAATTTGCAATTTGATCAAATATGAACGACTGGCGGCCATCTTGTTTGTTTAAAATGTGATAACTTGGACATGCTTTCACTTGTGATCTATGTTTGACTCCCATGTGTGAACCACAAAATGGGAGTCTTTGCAGTTAGTGTGTCTGTCTGTGGGTGGGTGGGTGTGTGTGTGTATGTGTGGGTGTATGTGTGTCCGACACTGTTCCACTGATATCTCAAGAACCATACATCAGTTTTTGATGAAACTTGGTGCATTGATGCTCTGGGCCAATGCGCAGATTTGATTAGGTTTTGGTGAAATTTCATGCATATTAATTACCTAATTTGCATGATAATATGCTAATTTTTAGCTGTTCCATGACTGTTCCATTGATATCTAAAGAACTACTCATTGGATTTTGATAAAACTTGGTATATAGATGCTCTGAACTTGTGCGCAGATTTGATAAGTTTTTGGTGAAAATCCGTGCACATTAATTACCTAATTTGCATGATAATTAGCCAATTTTTAGCTGTTCCATGACTGTTCCACTGATATCTAAACAACCACTCATTGGATTTTGATGAAATTTGGTATATAGATGCTCTGAATCAATGCTAGGTTTTGATTAGTTAGTACATGGATGCTGTAGAATAATAGACAGACCTGGATAATTGTGGGTTAAAATCCGTACATATTAATTACTAATTTGCATAATTAACCACTTTTAAGCTATCACACTGATATCTAATTATTCCATTTCAATGAAACTTTGTACAAAGATGCTCTAGGACAATGTACAAACCTGATTAGTTTGGGGTTAAAATCTGGTTATATTAATTCCCTAATTAGCATAATAAAACTTGATACAAATATTGGTTTTATATATTGTGCAGACCTCATTAGTTTTACACTCAAGTCTGTTCATATGAATTTTCTGATTTGCATTATTGGTTTTCAGCTTTTCCATCACAATCTCAATCAAGTACAAGTAATTTTGAATTATATTTAATGTGCCTCCAATACTCTCAGCACATGGGAGTTCTTTCTAAGCTTTCTTTGATTTTCTTTGCTACATGTATGTCTTAAACCGGAGGGGTCGTCACGCAACACATTTGAATTTGATGTAAATAAACAATATACGCCACTTGGGGCTCAAGTTTGAAAGACATACTCGCGACAACCCTCCACTTTAATATGTCGAGCACAAAGAGAACTTTCAAAAATTTAACGGGGACTGTGTCATTTTCAATGACTTGTTTCTTTCAAATATTGTTGTTTTCCACCTCAGGTTATTGAATATGAGTAAATCTGAGAAGTGTTATATTTTCTTTGTAGTTCCTATACTTCACTGATTTACCATTTCTTTAATAATTTTTTTCAAATATGTTTTCCACCTCAGGTTATTGAATATGAGAATAGAATCAGAGCATATTCTACACCAGATAAAATCTTTCGTTACTTTGCTACACTGAGAGTACAGAGTGAGCATGGGGATTATGAAATATATATGACTCCTGAAGACTTTGTTAGGTCCATCACACCAGATGCTAAGCAACCTGAAGGTAACGTATATATACTGTACTTTAATTTCATTTATATCGCATATAGCATAAGTAGACACAAATAGATTCTATCTTTTTATCTCATATTAGTGTAAAAGCCTACTCATAAATGAAAATACCCAAAATGTATTTACTTAGCTAGTAAAATGAAAAAAAATTAAGAAACAAAATTATTTATTGTTTACTTTTTGCTATCCTGAATTATTTAAATAATCTTTGTTTGGAAAAATAATAAATGCTATTTGCTTCAATACTGTGTTCTGTGGAACTGTACTAAAAATAGCTGCACTCCAGAATGTATGTTACCATAATTCTATAGCACCATAATTGTATATACATGAAATAAACCAATGAACAGTATTCCGTGTTTTATAACCAACTTTCAAAAAACATATTTCAATAAATTATAACTACCAGCAAGAAAATAATATGATAATATTGTGGAATATGATCACCTTAGTGCATACTTTACAGTATTCTTGTGATAACCTTGTATTTGCATTCATTGTAATTACGTTTATATTTCATGTATACTGTAAACGACTTTAGTTTTGTGGGTGACTCTGACTTTAGCTCTGGTTCGCCAATTGTTGTCATCACAAATGCCATAAATCATCAAATCTCAAAAATTAAACGATTTTATATAATATAGTTTACATGTAATTTGAAATATATCTAAAATCTAAACAAAACATGTTTCCTATCTGGTCCTTGTTCAATTGAATTTGCTTTAATATAAAAGAACTCATGAACTCATTTTCTCAGTCTATTTATTGAAATATATAAAATGCATATGTTAGGTAGGGTTTTCACAATTGGTATGTAGAGAATGAAAAACTTGAAAAAAGAGAAACTTTCATTTTTATTTTTACTCATCATATGCGCGCAAAAGGTCGCCGGGTCAAGCCCTGGTGGTACAAATATATCAGTATTCATGTGTTCTGTTGTCTTTTATTCCCTGTAGGCCTTGGTCTAGATCAGTTCAGGAGATATGATCCAAAGGTATGTATCAGTATTCAATACAATGTCAGTGTTAGGTCGTGGGGTCAAATTAGAGGCCAGTAGATTAAATTATCATAAGTGGGTTTATATTAGCTATGGTATTAAAATTTCAGAATTGAAATTCAAGATGTTGAATATAAAGGACCATTTTTTCTTGTATTTTTAATCCATAGTTACTGAGCCAAAATAATATTTGTGGTATTTAATGGATAAACACACATTACCTGGTGTATATTCATGATAATTTAATACCAACAGATGGACATGATTTTTGTTTGAACAAAAATTTATTTCTCAGCATTCTAGGCACTGTTTATATATGCATATCATCATGACGTTTTAACCCCATGTGGATTCACAAAGATCACAAAAATAGATGCAGATAAGCAAAAATAAAACAAATGGCAATTAGAACTCTAAAATAATTGGAGCCTCAGATTGAGATTAGTTGGTTATTATAGTAGCTTCTTATTTATTTATATATAGATGCTGTACATTTCATATTGTATTAGAATCCTAATGTAATAATGTCACTCTTCAATTTTATTTTAAAAGTTTTTGAACTTCCAGAACATTACAATTCTGTATTGTTAATAAAAAAATTATAAGAACAATTTAGCAGACTGAAATTTGGAAAAATTAAGATATTAGTGTAAAACATTACAGTAAATTAGCTTTTACGAGTAATCTTTAGTTTATGCTAGTTTATCAACCAAAAAATAGTTAGTAATCAATGCAAGTGTTTTCCTATGTAGGCAGATGGAGCAGCTAGGAGTTTCATATCGTGTTGGAGACAGGTAGAGTAACTTTGGGATCAACAACATTTGTTTTAAAACAATTAACCAGATTTCAAGCAATTTGTTATATACAATCTTAGACTAACAATTTTGTTATGGCTAATCTATTTTACATAGTTTTATGTTTTTGCATTTCAGATATTTTTTTTATTACAGAAAATATTGTGCTTGTGTTAGTGCAGCCCCTTGTTTTAGTGTCCCTCCTTGTGTTAGTGCTGCTCCTTTTATGGAAACCACTAAAATTCCATGATGAAAAACAAACATTTGTGAATTTCACTCATTTAAAGTAGAGATGCAGTTTACTTGACAGGTATTTTAATTAGTTAATTAGGCAACCAAGATGACCTCCCTTGTCCACAAAACTATATATTTTCGAAAAGCTTATTGTATGAACTTTAAAATTGTGTTAGTGTTTTTTTTCTATGGACACTTATAGTTTGAAATATGCAAAAAAATGTGCTTTTTTGGTCAAAAGTGATTTAAAAAAAATTAGCTTCTAAACCATGCTTCTGTTTCCTGTCAAAATTGGTATATGGGTACATCTGTTTACTATGAAGAAAGTGCCGTCTTGAAAACTGTCTACCAGTTGTCAATTTTACAGGGCGGCAGCTCAAATTTCACTACTTCAAGTTTATGCATAAATTAACACCCAGGCTAGTTGTTTGTACGATTGTTGTATACTGTTCAACCAAAAACAATTTCCCGACGGCGTTTTGAAGATAAACACATTGTCAATCATTTGTGAAAATTTCAAAACAAAAGGTCAAAGCGTCTAGGAGCTATTTTTTTTTAAAGTTCCGGGTGTTGCACTAAAAAGAAGCTGAGATAATTGCTAATTTGCATAACAATTCACTCAGTAAGAAGTTTGCTAATGCTCATAATTAAAATGGCTGTAACAGTTCCAAATTTAAATGTATTATCGTTTTGTTAAAAGTTAAATATAGTGCATAATATGGAGATCCCGTCATTTCTTTTTTTCACCATGTTTCTTTTTAGCTCCGCTGTCGACTTTGTCGAGCGGAGCTTATCATATGAGTGATTGTCCCTCGTCGTCCGTGTCAATGTTTTACTTTTTCGACTTCTTCTTGAAAACTACAAGCCTGAATGCTTTGATACTTGGTGTATATGTACCTTGGGTAGACCTCTCTTAGGTTTGTTCATTTCATGTTGATATCTTCAATTCTCTAATTTTGGTGAATATTTTTGTCATTTTTGGTAAAAAGTGATATTTTCGACTCGTTAAAAACCGCAAGTCCGATTGCTTTGATATTACATATATAGGTACTACATGTGGGTCCCTCTCAGATTTGTTCATTTTGTGATGATGTCTTCAATTCTCTAATTTTGGTGAATATTTTTGTAATTTTTGGTAAAAAAGTGATATTTTCGACTTCTTGTTAAAAACCAAAAGTTTATTTGCTTTTATATTACATATATAGATACTACATGTAGACCTTTCTCAGATTTGTTCATTTCGTGATGATATCTTCAATTCTCTAATTTTGGTGAATATTTTTGTCATTTTTAGTAGAAAGTGATATTTTCGACTTCTTGTTAAAAACTGTAAGTCTGATTGCTTTGATTCTATACATAATGTTCATTTTCTAATGATGTCTTCAGTTCTTTAATTGAAATGTGCATTGCTAACAGTGGAGCTATCTCAGCCGATAGGCTGCTTGTTTATTATTTATGTACACCCTTGCTAAATCTTGCTAAGCATTCAAAAGAGAGAATGTTTGCACCTGTTATCTATAATTAAAAATCGTTTTTTGAGTATTTTCCACTATTCACAATTGTACAAAATTTTAACAGTCTATAGCCAAAGACTGTTTGGACAATAAAAAGCAAAAAAAAAAAATTCACTCCAAAGTGCCCACGAACCTGCATCTCTACCTTAATACAACAATAAATTTCATGGATTGCAGTTTACACATTGCTGTTGTGCATTGCATCTATACATCATTTCTTCATTCATTTTGATCAGTTTGTTTGGACCAATATTACCACTATTGTGGTGTTGACAAAATTACTTGCTCATCTAAGAATGTACAGAATGACACAGTATGTTAATGCTTTGGAGCTGACATTTGCACAAGTACTTTACAAAGTAATTTTTATGTTAGTTATGTTATGTTGGATCATTATTGTGTTTTTTTTTCTTCAAATTTTATTCCATTTGCTCTTGCATGTAGTTTAATATTATATGAAATTTGTACCAAGCCAAACCTAAAACTACAGAAAAGCACAACTGCAAACCGTTCAATTTTCACTTTGTTCCAAATAGTTGCTGTGATTTCTTGTCTGCAGGGAACTTGTGAAATTTTTGTTTCTATAACATTTCATGATTATCGCTGACTCAGGAAAATTAGCACGGTTTGCAATATGTAGAGGGTTGCATGGTACAAGTAATTTTTCTCATAATTGATTTATATAGTAATTAAGGACTTATTTCCTCTATCAGAGGCACGTACAACTAATACGTAAGTGGATTTATAAATGGAGAACTCCTTGATTCCTTATTTTGGTTGTCTTGGTAGCATATACATGTACCAATCACTGCAGGGAGCAACGTACCTGGAGGTTATTAAGGCCATGATTTGAACTTTGCTATGTTATAGACACCTGATTCCTTTATTTACACAAGTACAAGTGCATTTACTGAATAATTGGTTAAAGCCTAAGGTCAGTTGACCTGGTCACTAATCTTAATAAAAAATGGGGACTTATACTAATACACTAATAGTGTTTTGTTCATGTGTCTGTCTGTCTGTTTGCGCATGATCATCCAATATCATTTCTCAAACATGCCTGAGCTGATTTTGGTTGAATCTTGGCACAAAAGTCATAATAGGAGACATATGCAAGTCGATTAGCTTTTCGCTCTGTTGACATTTGACTGACTGGTGGCCATTTTAGTCCCAAAGTATGCCATCAACATTTAGCATCTGTTTCTTAGGTGAACCTTCACCGAATTCATTCAATCTTGGTGTTGACAACACTCATGGTGGGTCACTGATGTTTGTCAATCTTATTCAAAATGACCAAAAGTTTTCTTGTGATTTCTATATCAAATTTAACAAGTTAACAACAATTTTCTTTTTTTCTGACATACCTGGGCCAATTTTATTCAAACATAGTAAAAACATTACACATAGTGTTTTGATGCATGTCTATTTGGTTTGTGCATTGCTTTAAAGTGGCTGACTGGGGTAGTGGAAGCAGAGGGGCCATGTTGGTTTTCTCAGACATTTTCTTCCAAGAAACTTGTCCTTTACTCAGAGGGCTTTATCATACTTTAATACTCAGTCACATAAAACTGTTTTTGGTGGTATGCATGTGCTTCCTTATTTGACTTTTTGCTGACAAAATTCTCACACATACTACCGGTAGATGTACATTGGATGTGCACATCATCCAAAAAAATATTATATTTATAACATATCATTAAAATATGACTTAATTTTACCATTGACACATCTGTGTCATTTACATGAATAGAGCTTATTGGTATATGGAATATTTAGGAACAAGTATTAACTCAAGTAAAGAATGGAAATAATCAGTCACAAACATTTTTATAAATGTGGAGACATCTACTTCATGACAGTTATTTCTGTTTCTATTTCACTAATAATCCCATTGTTTCATTCTCATCAATAATGTCATTTGAAGTTTCCCAGTTCAATAATTAATAATTCTAATTCTGTTTGAATAATCTCTTTGTTTGTTACAGTGATTGATTCTTTTTTGAGTTTATATTTAACTTTACTCACATAACCTTTTATTGCTGGTGTAAGTTGCTAAGCAATGCTTTGTACTGATATACATGTAGTAATAAACATTAACATGTTTAATGTTTGTAGAGAGGTACAGTAGTTATATAAATTAATTATAACAGTTCATGCAATAATAACTACAAAGTAAATGATTTGGCAAAATTAAATAATTATATACTTTGCAAATTTAAAATCATCCATTTATCTATTCTTTTGTTCAAATTCATCGTATATATCATATTTTTTAACTATACATTATTTTCTGTATTTGTAGCGCATTTACCGAGTACTTCACAATTACATTATTATAAATTACATTTAAAAATTTTATGTCAAAAAATGGAATATGTTTAATGATTTGGTAAGATTCAAGTGCAATTTTTGGTTTATATGTGTTCTAATGATATTGGAGATGTGCTTCTAGTAGGACAAATATGGTATATGTAACATTTCATTTTTTTTGTATTCAATATTTTTTATTTTAGAATAGCCTTTGAGTATGTTCCATTCAAAATTCACTTTGCAACTCTTTTTTCTTTTTATATATAGCAAACTGACAAATTAATGTGTTTTCACCCCTGTATATCTTTATTTTATCAGCAAATTAAATGTTTCCCAGAACTCATTATAATTTATACAGATTATTTAGCCTAATTTGCATATCAAATCCCTTAAATGATTTGCATACTGCACTAAACTATTTAATGTTACAAATGTAATTGAGTTTGGCTAACTACCTTAATAATTTTATCATTTTAGGAGAGATTGCCGAAATGTAGTGTTAAAAATAAACATAAAGTAGTTCTTCCCAGAGAATAATAGAGTGGTGGCCCATTACTATAATTGGATATTAAAAGTCGTAACACTGAAAACAAACACAGCACTGTGATAGTTCCCTGGGGAGAACACTAAATTGAGTTAAATCCTTATACTTAATGGACGATGGTCGTCGTGTCGTGTGCTGTTCGATATGAGACTCATAGCAACATATACAGTACCGGTATATGTAAAATACAATGTTTATTTACATGAAATTCGAACATGCACTGCACGACAACCACTGCACTTTAAAGCACTATAGTCATTGCACCATGTTCTGTTCTGTTCTGTTCTCATAGCGTTGTACACAGACAATAAATACATTGTAAATTTATTTTGCTGAAATATAAATGTATAATGTGTTAAAAAACTGATTTAGCATTAAAAAAAAACATTGCATCATTAAAGGGACTCAGTCAGAACACACCTCCTCATGTCAAATATGGGTTCCATGTGACGTACATGTGGAAAATTCATTATTCACATATTATTCAAATATGCCACTTCCAATATTCCACGCTTTGAAAATTATCAGGTCATCACAAGAATGTCGCTAAGTGTGCACTATGGCGATACGTCAATGAGTTATAGAGAAATCATGTAAACTCATAGTCCTGTACTGCCTGAATACATACATGTACATTTGTATTTTGCAGTATTCTTGTAGTATATCTTTTTCCTACATAATTTAATGAGGGATTATAACCCAAAATGGCAATGAAAAATGCTTTCTGCTATATTTTCTGTGATGCTATTCGATCGTACTATAGCACTTCTGCAATCAAATGTACACAAAGGCACATGTTTGAATTTGACATTAGTAACTTTGAATGGGTCAATGCTGGTGACATAGTTCACCCTATATATTGTAAGGGAAAATTTGAAAGTTCTAATGAGTGCTGATAGATTTTAGAATGAGTGCTGATAAAGCTTTTCACAGAACACCAAATCCTATGTATAATTATTATAATAATAACTTTATTTCAACATGTTTTCAAATAGGCTTGGCTCACACATGGTCTCTTTAAATGAATCATATTATTTAACGTATTAAGTGCTATCAAAAATGGATTGGTACATTAAGAACTGACTTGTCAATATATATATATATATATACCCGGTAGTTGATTTTTTTGTATATACCCGGTAGTTGATTTTTTTGTATCTAAGACCTTGTTGGTGATTCTTTGCAGAAAGTTGGTGCTACCTCTCAGTTCTCTGAAGAAGGCAGTATATTCAGTACTTTAGGACAGTGTGGACTCATCACATTCTCAGATTATATATTTCTTCTTACAGTCTTATCAAGTAAGTATATTTTACATTCAGGAGATCTGTTATTACCACAGAATTTCATTCTCTAAGAGCAGCGAATGAATGGTTGAACACTGTTGCATCTTGTTATGTGAAATGATAGAAAGAGTGATAAATAATTGAATAGCTAAAACTAATTGCATTTATTCATAATATACCGTAAAACATGTCTTTTTCGCGAGCATGTCTTTTTAGCGAATTTTATAGCGAGAGAACTGATTCGCTAATTCAAGATGTTGCTAATGACTTTATTATAAATTCAAAATGGGAATTTGTATACAGTAATTATGAAAACAGGAAATCAACAATGACAAGTGAGATTAGCTAAATCAACATTTCGCTATTACGTTATTTTACCAGAATTCGCTAAAATTGCATGTCACTTTTTCAACATGTTTTACAGTAGTCTACATTACACAACACTGTAAATCACCTATGTAAAAATCATCAAAATTTGTGACTTCAGCAAAGTTTTGTCTTCACTAAGGCCAGACTTTTATTATCCATTGTTTCGCGAACCCGCCGAATGAACAGGAGCCGAAAATGAAATAAAAATAAAATTTGATTTCAGCGTAATTTCTCGCGCCCGCGACTTGTAAGCGCAAAAAATGCTAAAAAAATATTATTTTTATCTTCATTTTTTTACCGCCCGCGCATAACAAATCCAAGTTGCATTTTCATGGGAGTATCATGATCCAAGTACCGATGTCTCGAGCAGATGAGAAAAACGTTATACATAGAATAAAATTTTATTTCATTTCTTCTCTCCGATCAATGATCTCATTTACAATTCTTTGAGAATCACACAAATCCAATGGAAAAAAAGAATTAATTTTATTTTTTTTTCGCTCCCCCTCAAAAAAGGTGCTTTACAAAAACTCGAGAAACAAGGAACAAAAAATGTCTGGCCTAATGCCATAAAATCCTAAAATCAATGAACGCAGTGAAAGTTAAATAGTTTTGTTCCTCATATAGCCATTTTAACCTTTTACCAACAGTTCTCTCTTTTCATCACAAATTCACAAAATATTCCAGTTTATGGTCTGCAATTTCCATTACAAGATTGGGACTAAAATAGTCAAATATTTTAACTAAAAACTGAAAATTTACTCAAATTTTGTCTGTTGACTCCAAAATTAGGGTTCATCTCAGAAATATTGCAGATTATAAGAAAATAGTGCAGAACAATATGGATTAGTAAGTCTGATGGTGAAAAGGTTAAACACAGACTGGGGTGTTTCTACCATACAACCTCTGACCTACAACCCCTGACCTACAACCTATACCCTACAACCTCTGACCTACAACCTCCGACCTACAACCTGTATCCTACAACCTGTACCCTACAACCTATATCCTACAACCTCTGACCTACAACCCCTGACCTGAATCCTGAAGATTAATACAACTTTATCTGATATTTAAAATTAAGTTATTAACAACCCTTTCAGGAATTTGATCTTCCAAACAACATTCTACTGAACCAAACAACCATGAATATTCACATTGGTTAGTACTTATAATGTGCTCATTGTTGAATTCAAATTACAAAATTGCGCCACTCCAATTGTATTATTATCTTGCCTGCATTTTTGTGATCACGTCCAGCAAAACAGAAATTTTGCACAATATTAAAAAAAACACTTGGTCACTGTCAAATCAATTAAGAGGTAAAACCTAGCCATCAGCTTAACTCAAAAAACAAAACAAAACAAATTATTTATTCATACCATTACAGTCATATGATATTCAATAACTATTCCAGATATTTGAAACTGCGTATCACTAACATCTGAGTTAATTGGTTTTAGTAGTACTTGTATGAATGTTGCGGTATGTTAGAGGTCAGCAAAACATGTATTTTATATAATTGAACTGAGTGAGTTTTTATGGATTGTGACTGAATAAAAAGCCAGATTCAAAGAGTTGACGATGTATAAAGACATTCTACTCTAGAATATATCTGAACATTGGGCAATAGGTAATTTTTCGTTCAACTGCAAGATATCACAAATTGTGTAAAAGGCCGTACGAACATCTGCCGTAAAAATCAAACAATTTGATTTTGAACTTGAATTTCTGTTTTTCATAGCTCAAAGTCGAAAGGGTGATCTTTGAAAGGGGAATATTGCGTTCAGATACCCTTGATTCATCGAAATTGACCATAAACAAATGTGTACAGCGCATTTTTAAGCATGGAAATATCCCCCAAAATACTTTCGTGTTGAATCCTACATGATGTTTGATGCCACCACGATGCTATGAACTTTGTTTGTCCTGTTTTTACGTTCGATTTCACGCATAATATGGGATCTTGCAGTGAAGGGACAATAGTCTGTATGTCGAGGGTATAAACAACAAGCAAAGATATTTGATAGCGGATACAAGACATTGCTAGAGAAAATTAGCATATTTGATGGAAGATAATCACCAAGCTTATGCATACCGGTATATCGCATAATAATCCTAAGACCCTAAATAAATCTTATTGAATGTTCTCAGAGTGCAACTTTAATAATTGTGTAATATTTTATTTCAGCTCCTCCTAGGCACTTTGAGATAGCATTTCGTATGTTTGATTTAGATGGCAATGGAGAGATACAACCCTTTGAATTCGAGAAGGTATGATGTTAGTTTATCATGTGTAATGTGTCAATCACTACAGTGTACTGTTAATAACGATATGTAGACTAGGTATGATTCAAGATATTTTGCTGTGTGCTTCTTAAATCGCCACACTATCTAATAAATAATGTATTTTACATGTGTTGTATGCATCTATTGGGACTCAAAAACAACACAGTGCGATAACATACATGTAGAACAGCACTACATTACATGTTCATCAGAATATATGTTTGGGAAAAAATATATCTGTAATCTGTGATTACCGTCAAAGTGCTGTAGAATACTTTATTTTTGCTTGGAATTATTTTTTGCTATTTTCACTGAAGAAATAATTCGGTGAAAATAAAATCCAGTGAATATACCTTTTTTCCTATATTTCACATTCAACTCGTCAAAAATCAGTGCAAATAATTCCATGCAAAACACCCAAATAGTTTATTCAGTGAAAATTAATTCCAGTAATTTACAGTATTATCAATCCTTGTTATACCGGTATTTCCTGGTTGGACAAAGTCCCAAAATGGGCACTATAGACTCACTTTTGTGCATCTGTTCATTCATTTCTGTGACATGTCATATATACTACCGCAGACAATACATCGCTCCTCTAAATTGTGCTCTCTGGTGATATAGTGCTTATATGACGTAAGCGAATGAAACAAAGACAGTTCAAACCTGTGTTTAAAGCATTGATATTGTTTTGATCTATAGTCGTCCCTCAATGGAGACCATGTTTGGGGAGATTTTACTATATTCCAGATTACGAACAACAACACAGCCAAACACAGTTGTTGAATTGAAGGACATTGCCTTCCCCCATATACGTAATTTTGACATCACTAGAAGGTGCAACTTATATGAATGGTGTATAGACCAGTGAGATTTCATTATTGGATCTAAACATGAGTCCCATGCAACATACAAATGTATACATGTCTAAAATACAGTTTTTCTTCACACAAAATTTAAAAATGCTCTGCATGGTGATTGATGCTTTATACATATTTTGTTAACCGTAATTTAAATCATGTATAAGAGTCTTTAAATTAGAGCCTAACATGGTTACTTGCATGTACATGCTTGGAGCATTGTCCTCAAATGGGAAGTCATGAGGTATCTCTTGCTAAGATTTATTTACCTATAGGTAATAAAGTGAATATAATAAGGGACAGAAAACCGGGACAGCTAACAGAGACTTAATTCAATTTGTTTTCAGGTTACACAAATAATCCGAGCACAGACAAGTACAGGACAGCGCCACCGTGACCATGCTGTCACTGGTAGCACCTTAGCACATCATATCAACAGTGCATTGACAACATATTTCTTTGGAGAAAATATGGATCAAAAACTGACAATAAATAAATTTATTGAGTTCCAAACAAGACTGCAGGAGGAAATACTCAAATTAGAGGTAAATTTATAGTTTTGCATTGTATAATTATATACTGGTAAATTGTGATGACATTCTGATGGTTAAATGATTAGTGAATATATTCTATCCGGATGCTTTAATGAGATTCAGAGGTCATACCATTTCTACAATGATCTACATATGTTACATTGAATGGCCCATACTACATGTATTTCTATTGTCCTACTGGAATGCAACTCAGTATGGTACATCACATGAATATGTGCAAATCAACCTATTCAACTGAAATGAATTAGTTATATCCATCATAGTCTAACACCAGCAGCTACATGTACCTAAACAATGGTATGTTATCTAGGCAACTCACTACATCAACACAATCCAGCAAGAAGTTTATGTTCTTCATTCGACAATTGTATTCTTGTTAAACTACATGCCAGGACAAAAGAAATTCGGTATTACCAGGTTTCACTTATATTAATCCCAATACTTGGAATGAGTTACTTTTTGATAATAAAAATTCAAAATCTTTATATTCATTTAAGCATTCACTAAAGGCGTTTATTTTTAAACATTTAAAAGTAAGTTTTATTGTGCAGTGACTGGATGGCAAAATCCGATGTTTACACCTGGAGATAAAATAAAGCAATGTTCAATGCTTCTTGTATTAAATATTCATGTATGTGTCTCTGTTAATAAAAAAAAACACTTATGGGTGATGTTGTTACAGCAGATCACGAGCCAGTTTTGATCAAGGAGAGATATTTGTTATCAGATATTTGCATGCTGGTTGGCGAAAATATAAACTTGCATTTACATGTATCTTATCTTGGGGTATTTAGTGTACTGTTATCGAGCTATGTCGTTATAATATAGGGGTGATATCTTGATTGAGTGTTACATTCTTAGTTCAATAGGTTTGATCCAGAAGATGGAAAGATAACAGAAGGTGAGTTTTCTGACTCACTTCTGGCGTATGCTGCTCTCACAGAGAAGAAGAAAACTAGGATGATAAAAAGAGTAAAGAAAGCTTTCAAAGAAGAACCACAGGTAGGCAGTGTACCGCAATAATGTCAGATTTACAGTGGAATGACAAACTAATCACTCATGATCCATGTTTGCAGTTCAAAAGGTTTTTAGTTCCCGTTCGGACACAGTCCGAAAACGGCGACTTATGTTTTGACCTCCGTGTGTCCGTGCGTGCATGTGTGCGTGCGTCTGTGCGTGCGTCTGTGCGTGCGTCCGGACCTGTATCTTAGAAATGCCTGAATCAATCACAATCAAACTTCACACATACATCATACATGATATTATACATATGCACGTCAATTTGTTTCACGATCTGATTCAAAATGGCTGTCTGGCAGCCATTTTGTTTTAATGAATGGGCTTCTAGAGCCATATCTCTTAAATGCTTTGACTGATTATATTCAAATTTTATATATTCATTATACATCATGTTATATATATACATGTATTCAAAATGGCTGATTTTGAATGCTGTTCCAGAGCAATATTTCTCAATATGGACAAGTACTTGTTTGACGATCAGATACAAATGTCAATCATTTTAATGTTAAAAAATCATATTCCTGACATGGTTATATTCCAGCTATATTACTATAAACAAAACTATATATCTTAAATTTGATAACTAACGGGGACTGTGCCATGCATGGCTTGTTGAACATTGAAGTCACTGCTGTTGATTTTATTTGTCTTTGGTGCAAACCAATCTCCTATAATTAAAAATACCACATGTTTGAAAGACAGGGCAGATCTCTGATTTATACTGATCAGTAAACAGTTGGCTCCATGAATTTAACCAAGAAACCTTCTTGATGTTAAACACAGTACCATCGCCCACATCTTGATATGTTTCCCCTTCTCATTTGTGGTTCATCACTGTGTCAGAGAAATAAAGGTAGCTTGCTGTGATTTCAATTAGTCAAAAATATTTCAATTTAGAGTGTTCAAAAAACTTTATATTTTAACAATACATAAAAGTCACAAATTCAATTTTGACTTGATTATTAATGTTCTGTTCACAGGGTGTAACATTACAAGAATTTTTAAGCTTTACAAAACTGTTACGAAGTATCCATGATGTTGATACAGCACTGACATTTTATCATGTAGCAGGAGCACCTATAGGACATGGTAATTTGATACAAATATTAATTTTTACTGTTGTTAGTGTGCTTATAAAATGATGGACAAAAACTACTGCTACAAAGAAATAGTGGAAAAATGTCATGCCCATATTGCTATGTGTTTAATTCTGATTGGTTAGCCATGTGTTTAATTCTGATTGGTTAGCCATGTGTTTAATTCTGATTGGTTAGCCATGTGTTTAATTCTGATTGGTTAGCCATGTGTTTAATTCTGATTGGTTAGCCATGTGTTTAATTCTGATTGGTTAGCCATGTGTTTAATTCTGATTGGTTAGCCATGTGTTTAATTCTGATTGGTTAGCCATGTGTTTAATTCTGATTGGTTAGCCATGTGTTTAATTCTGATCGGTTAGCCATGTGTTTAATTATGATTGGTTAGCCATGTGTTTAATTCTGATTGGTTAGCCATATGTTTAATTATGATTGGTTGTGACATATTCCCTCATTACTACAATTCAAAGTGTGCAATGTTCATGAATAGATTATTGATATCTAAATGTAATATATGATTATGTTTTATATCTTTGTCAAAGTATCACAATCCACAACAAAATAATTTTTATTTTTAAACTTATTAAACAAGGGCGCACATCCAGGTAGCTGTACAGTGCATACATACATAATTGCGTAATAATTGTGCTTGATCTTTGCTTTGTTCTCAGATACATTGAAGCATGTTGCCAAAACGGTGGCTGGTGTAGACCTCAGTGATCATATTGTTAACGTGGTTTTCACACTATTTGATGAAAATAGTAAGTACAAAATGTACCGGTAGTTTTTACTATGTTTTCTCTGGTTGTATCATTAATGCATTACAACTATGCTTTTGACCTGAAGCTATAGGCTGGCCCATATGTTTTATTATTCTTTTATATTATAATTCCTCGAAGAACAAGTTTGTAGAATCTCGTACGTTGAGGTAAGGTTGCCATGACTGGTCTGTTCTGCTGCGCCCTCTATAGTTGTCACCACGTTTTTGAGGTGATAAATTTGCTAATGAGTAGCATAACTTGTAAGCTGCAAACCAATAGCAAAGGCAGCTTTTGATCTGACCTTTTCTATGCAACTATAACGCATACGTGATCTGACTATTAGAATCCTTTACTATCCCCTCTCTGTTTCACTCCAGGGTTATACAATATATAAAGTCACTGCATATCATGAATAATTAATAGCAGTGAGTTAGTATGCCACACAGTAGACCAGTCGTGGTAATTCTGCATTGGAAAAAAAAAAATTATAAAATTATCAGGGCTGGCTACTGAAGCCTATAGCATTAGTGGATATCATAGCAACTACCAACCTTTGAAGCTTAATTAATATTTCCTTTGTGTTCAGACGACGGCAAACTGACACATAAAGAGTTTGTATCTGTTATGAAAAATAGAGGAATGCGTGGTCTAGAAAAATCTAAAGACACTGGTGTGACAAGACTCATTGAAACCATGTGGCGATGTGCCAAAGAAACTAAGAAATTCAACTGGGAAAGTTGATCAGGCATGGATGAGAGCAGAGCATGAAATCAGCAACAATACTTGGTATCTGGTTATTCCAGTAATGAACTTCCAAGAATCAGCATCTATTATGTTTCCACATGTTCACCTGCTCCTGATTTCATATGATTCCTTCCTTTCTTTGGTGCAGTGTTAGATATTACCAGTAGTAGTACTGTATTACAAGTAGCATTTCCAATAGAAGTCACATTCTTTTGTACAACTGAGAACCAAAAATTCACCATTTCTCATATGTATAGATGCTCTAATAGAAGCCACATCCTTTTTCGGCTTCTAATACAGATTTTACAATAATTGAAAAGTGGCATTGTGGATCCTGAATTTCTGACACTGCGATGTAACTTCGTATATTTTTGCTAACCATCTTACCACTTGTTTGACAAAAATGTTGAGCATTGATCAGAGTTACCTTGTGATCTGCTGTTACAACAGTGGCCGGAGTTGTTTTTATTAATTGGAAAACGTGTATATCTCATAACAGAACTGAACAATTTAATTATTTTAGCTTTATGTGCAAATGTATTTTGCTAACTAGTTACTGCACACATGTGAGAGAAGCCTTTATCTGTATAGCCATTGTTTCCTGTGACATACTTGTAGATAATATTCCACCACATTTGTTGTCCTAGTCTGTGATGACTTTTAAAGCAGTAATATGGATAGTTTTTTGAGCATATTTTATTAACTTTGATTAATATAGCAAGTTATACTACATGTATTTAGTGTTGTCTTGGCAACATGCATAGCAGTATTCATTGATTAAAATACTACAAAATGTAATATATATACACACCTGATTTACTGATTGCCTACAGGTAGTATAAATACTGATTTTTTTGTTGTTGAAATTTTACAAGAAATCGTATTCCACTGTTTTTTTGAATATGCTAAATAATTCAGGGTGTTAATGTCAGTTTAATTGTGTAAAAAGTGGGATTAAAAAACTAAATACTAATGATACAGTGCTGAATGATTCAAATGTTTGCAGGCAGTCAGTAATGTTAGATTGAACTTAAATTTTTTTTATTTATTTTGAAATTTTTACTCGTTTTATGAATTGTACATGAGGGCACTATTAAAAACATTGGAACACTGCAATTCTACTTTGTATGGTCTGTTAATAAACCTCTCACTGTCCACTCATAAGTGGATTTTGTACAGTTCCCAAGAAAACTTATAGAAACCTGAAATCAAATTTAGAAGTAACTTACGAAATATAATGAAAATTGTTCAATTTGGTGATTACAACACGACCTTTAGTGCAGGTCAGCTCCAATGCATGGGTCACTGCTCATAACCGTGCTGTTTTATGTGTCGTGCTTATAGTCTTGTAAATGGGCATGGTGGTCAGCATGTTTTTACCTCCCATCATGGAGGTTCTGGGTTATATTCCCGGAGCCAACTGTTCACTCAGCAGTATAAATTTGAGTACAGTCTGCCATGCCTTCCAAACAAAAAAGTCAGGAGAGACAGCAGTTACTTCAATAGCTAGAACTACCGTAATCTACATGAAACAAATATTTTCAACTTCTTGAAAACTGCTAGTCTGATTGGGTTATTTTATATGTAGGTACCTTGGCTGGCTATTCTCTAGTAAATGTGATAATTGAAAACAGACAGCAAACATTTCCCTAAATATAAATTTTACAAATTGGTCTCAAGATATTTAGTCAATTTTTAAAAAAAAATCTAAATTTTTTACATTTAATAATGAATTAACTGTACCCATCTCAGATTTGTTCATTTTGTAGTAATATTTTGTATTCTATATTTCTAATGAATAAATGGCATCTGAATTGGTTAGATACTATGCTGCAGGTACCATGGATGGACGGTCAGAATTATGTCCATTTCTAATTTTAACGAAATAGTTTTATACTTATGACATGACCTCAACCCCCCACCAAAGATATTGCATAGTCCAACCCTTGGCCATAACAAGACCAGAATTTAACTTAAGGGTGGAGGTCATCACATTACATCACGTTCGATACAAGACACGTAGCGTAATACACAATGCATGTACAATACATTACTTGTTCACATAATATTCTAACGTGCTCCATGACGATCTCTGCCCTTTAAATTTCTATCACCTCAAGTTTTATTTGATACACAAGAGTTTTAAAACAATCCAATTCAAGTAAATAAAAAGCAAAGTTTCTCGACAAACAGTCACTTGTTATTTATTTGCACGCAGATTTTTTAAAAATGTTTTTGGTAATTATGAAAGTAAAATAATACAAAATAAAAACAGCAAAATACCGATAATAAAAAAAAATAGTAAAAATAAATTAAACAACATACATCAGATTTTAATCACTGAATAATGAAGCATTTCAAATACAAAAGTTTAATAATTATCAATTACAAGATTAATTTTTCATATATTACATTCCTTGTATTAAAATATGATGCTTCAGCAAACTGAAATAATAGAACAAGTGCCTGATCATGTAAATACAACTCTAAGATAAAAATAAAATATAGATCTAAAGAGTGATAATCACGACAGTGTGCATTCAAATTTCTGTGTAAATAAACCAAACATCATTCTAACATGTACGTGTTGCTATGCATGGTATGGGACCCAATTATAACAAACACAGGTGTCCAAAACCAATATTTTCCAGTGTTGTTGTGGGAGTAATAAGTTTAAAATCAACACAGATGTTATCATAGTTAATTTTAGGGATTATAAACAATAATTATGTAAGAAAAACAAAACTGGAATTTGAATAATCCTGAGTGGAAGTGTTATTGTGCTACAAAAGTTTTCAGTTTTCTCCTAATAGAATGCATTTTATAAAGCAATTTCAATATATTTACATGACCCATATATGTGTATGAATACGAGTACACTGTATGTATAGTTGACCTTGCTTCAATGACCTCACAACTTGTATTATGATTGCACAGAAAACATCGTGCCAATTTTGCGGCACTAGCTATTATTTTTCCCCATGTACATATAGTTATATTATTTAGTAGAATAAAAACACAAACACATGTGACCTTGAACTTTTGCCCCTAAAAGATTCTGCAGCATGTTGGTGATGTAAAAATTTTTTTTGCCAATCTTGAGGTCTGTACCCCCCCCCCCCCCCCGAGTTATAATGCACATACGCATCAGCGCATACACATGTACACATCTTACAATCGTTGTAACGACACACATTGGATTAAATTTTAATATACACGTAGTTGAAGTAACTTTTAATATAGTTGCGTTATGTTTAATTAAACACAATCACAATATAATTCAACATAGAATTTTCTGAGGTTCAATTAAACAAGCAATGATCGTTATCAAATTTAAGATAGATAGTTTTTTTGAAATATAAACGTGTCAGCAATATGGATCCAGAAGCTGATGCTTGATTATGATTTTTTAACATTGAAATAAGTTGACATTCAGTCATCTGGTATCTAATTATCAAACGAGTACTTGTTCATAATGAGAGATATTGCTCTAGTACAACATTAGTTAAAACAAAATGGCCACTGAATGGCCATTTTGAATACATCAATATTTCTATGATATGATGTAAAATGAATATGTAAAATTTGAACATAACCAGTAAAAGTTGTCAGAGATTATAGCTCTAGAACCACAAAATGGTTGACAGTCAGTCATTTTGAATCCGATCTGAAAAACAAAAATAAAATGCATCAGGGACCAATAATGTCTATGATGTATGTACCAAGTTTGAATGAAATCCATCCACAAACGACAGAGATCCGGTTCTAGAATTTCAGAAATGCTTGACTTTTTAGCCACCATTGGGCATTTTGAATTGGATCGTCAAACCAACACATCTGTTTATCTATTACATGATGTATAATGAATATATAAAATTTGAGCATAACCAGTCAAAGCATGCCAGAGAATCCACATTCATTAAAACAAAATGGCCGCCAGTCGACCATTTTGAATCTGATCTCAAAAACAAAATGACAGACATCAAGGTCCCATAATGTCCAAAGTATATACCAAGTTTCAACAAAATTCATCTGTAAACAGTCAAGATCTGGTTCCTCAATGCAATAAATGTTTTCAATGATTTTTCAGTACAAAATGGCCACCATTTCGCCATATTGAATCAGAAACAAATTGCATAAGTATAATATTATGTCTGATGAATGTGTGAAGTTTGAATGTAATCCGCCCAGGCATGTCTGAGACACAGGTAAATCCACTGTGTCGGAACGAGGACTACTTTAAGGTGTGGGTCATGACTTGCTAGGTCTGTTGTCACTTAGGTATATGTAGGTGTAAAGATAAATGAAAATTGTCACAACGTTGATATCACAAGCAAACACACACATACATTCATAAAAATACACACACATGCATACAAATGACACACAAACGCATACCTACACACTGCTTCACACTGGTGCAGGTAAATATATAATTTATCTATACGATGGTAATAATGAATTATCTAATTCTAAATAAAAATTGGTCTTTTCGTTGTTATAAAATACTAAATTGTATGAATCTCACAAAAACTTTTCATTGTTATAAAATACTTAATTGCATGAATCTCACAAAAACCGTAAAAACAAAAATAACTAAAATATCTTACATCTTGTACTCTCTTGACAACAGCCAAGTTTTTTGTTCTATGGTTGCTAAGCTACCATATGTGGGGAGGGGGAGTAAATAGTTGTTGATTTATTTACTTCCAGTTTTTGGGAATGTGCAGGCAGTTTTAGGCAGATATTTTACTGCTTAGTTTATACTGACAATGTTGATTTTTTTTTATGGTAGGCATCTAGGTTTAAGTTCATGAAATTATTATGAAATATGCAAATGTAATATATAAACAGTATTAACTTTCATCCTGTCTGTGTTGAGTGTATGGGTGACATTTTGTTCTCAGTGATCAAACCCAAATGGTCACAATAAGTTCCACAGCTAATTGCATTCTGCAAATTTTTCAATTATACCAAAGTGGTCACCACATAGTTCCACAGTCCAAATGGTGACTGGATCTTGAAACTCACTACATCATCTTGTAACATCCCAAGTCATTGGATGATAGCAAAGAAGCAGTTAAACCTACAGCCAATCAAAGTACATGTAACAGAAAGATGTGGCCCATCCAAGCTTTTAATCATGGTACATCAGGCCCATGTTTCCAATGTTAAAGCACAGTGTCTACACCAGTCTGTAAGTCCAACATCTGTTTCATGAATTCATACACTGTAAATGAGACTGCAATTTGTGGTATAGCTCTGAGGTAGTTTATACTTAGTCCTCTATAAAGTCCATGTACAATTCCATCTGATTTGTAAACTGTTAATAATGTTTGAAACCAATTCCTAGAACAGATAAATACAAGTATTATACATCTGTAACCATAACGCCATAAATTACAGCGTGCTGTAAAAATTTGAGTCGGTTTTCAGTTTTTATCCCAAAAATTAGGTTATTTTTGTCCTAATCAATGGAAAGTGCAGATTATAAACAGAACTACTTTGTGAATTTGTGATGAAAAGAGGGAACTGGTGGTAAAAAAATTGAATTGTCCAATGATTAAATGAATCACCACAGATAAGAAACACCTAGGACATATGGATGGTATATAAAAATAATCCACACATGGCTGTATTGGATCTTATCAATTATCGTTTACAAGTCCTCACCTGAACATGTGGGAGTCTGGTAAAATCATCGCTAGCTGCATTCTTCGCCTTGCAACATCTAATGGATATCTATAAACATGATGAAAACACTGGTTATATAACATGTGGTAGCATGGAGCATGGATGTTGTGTAGATTATGGATTGTTAATCAAGCAATATGTCATGTTGGATATTTGGTTTTCACTAAGATTTTAAAATGTCAGTTTAAATATTCACGATATTTGCAATATTTGAAAGGTTATTGCAATACATCACAAAAAATGCCCGAATACAGTACACTGTCATACCAACCTCTGCTACATGGTGAGTAGAATCCAATTTTATGCAATCTTTGCAGTATCTTTGCAATAACTATGCGTATATTGCAAATAATTGAACTGACATGATGAAAACTTGAAAATATAAAACCCATAATAACCTAATATTATACATGTACATCTTTCTGATTTGGTTTGGTGTAGGATGTCAAGAACTGACCAAAATGATAAAAATTACTGGAACTTTCTCACTATAAACATTGTTTACAAAACTACAAAAATTTCTACCTTGGAAATATTGTGTACACGTAACTGTTCCCTACTTGGAATTTGCATTTCCTAATATGGTAGGATGCAGAAACCCAGTAAAAATACCACTAAATTACGGCAAGCTTTAACTATACTTTGAAAAATGTATAATAATATTATCATTTAATTATACACAACCTTACAATGCATTTGATAAACAATTGTTTAATTCTACATATGCAATTCATAGTGAGATTAAACAAAATTCTGCCATGAATTGTCTATTTAATGGCCCAATATTTGGTTTCCAGGTGTTTTCCTGCAATCCAACTTTTCACATAACAATGACCAACCAGGACATGGGATAAGCTGACAACATTCAAATATTTTCAAGAATACAGTAAATTTCATGAAGGTATGAATTTATAAAAAAAAACTTATAAAACACCTACCCTGGAAGACCATCAAAGTTCATTAAAATTCAAAGAATATGCTTTCAGAATATGGAATTAGAAGCTAATTGTTAACACTATCTCATTACCCAGCTCGGTGACAGCTTGACAGCCATGAGACTTGTTATTTCTCATTAAATAGTGTTCCATTCTCTCTTGTCATCATGTCCATCGATTACCATGGTAACACATGCCAGGGAACAGAGGACGTGATGTCTAGAGAAAATGAACCACTATTTTAGAGAAAAAAAAAAAATGTCTGTTGCTCACTCATCCTAAATGATATCTTGGTGGTTATTTCCATCTAAGGTCTGTCCAATGATTGTAATACTGACTGCAACACAGATACAGATTGTGTACGAATGATACAGTTTGTGACATAGCTCCAGCAGTAACAAAATTAATTAATAGAAATGTTAAATTGTGTACTTACGATACAGTTTGCGCCATAGCTCCAGCCATACCACCAATTAAGAAAGTTACAGGCAGCCTAAGTACCAATTCCTCTTTATGTTTTATAGAAGGTTTACACGTCCATTCCGTAAAATTTGTCAAAAAAAATGCTTTTAATGTTTCATATGTGTAAAAAGAAAGTCCTGTATAAGAATATAAAAGTATACATTAATAGTGAATGAATGGAATGTAGAACATTGTGCGACAAAACTCCACTCCTGAGTATTAGTGAGAACAAATTTGACTTTAATGTAGAATGCTAAACAAAATTAAGAATGTTGTCATTTTCTTTATTATCACATATTTAATATATCATGTTACAAGAATGGAGAAAATAAATTAAAAATACGGGGTCACCGTAATGTTCAAAGCAAATAGATCAATAAAATACCCTCTGTACTTTTTGTCTGTTTTAGGGTGTTTTACCATCGTTTCCAAATATCTGAATACCCCAAAATTGTGCTCATTGACATAAACAATGTCTTACAACAAAAAGTATTAAAAATTGAATGGGACAAAATTTAAAATTAACGATGAAATGAGTTTTCATTGTGATCTATAAGACTGCTGCTAAAATGGCATTTATTTATTTATTTTTCTCAAAAACCAGATTGACAGTGACCAAAACAATCTTGTCACACTGTTGACTAATATTAAAACAATTATGACAAAATTGCCACTGCTATGTGTGCACATGTAAAAAAAACTCACTAATAGCATTCTGCTTTATATGCTTACCTGCATAGGGTACCATGCCTATTATTGTAGGTGTAAAACCTCTGTAAAAAGCTTTGATTCCACCTTCCTAAAGAAAATAACACAAAACATATACAATAAAATTGAACTTAAAAATTAAAATTTCCTGAACAAATTGTCAGTTCAACTTAAATTATAATACACAATATTTGTATAATTTTAACCTATCAATGCTATAATTTATCTTACACACTAATTTTTCACTAAATGATCTAAATCTTGCAATAATACATAAAAGATAAATCTTTACAGTAATATCCAAAAATTGAATACCACATGCACATCATGGTACAAGTACAAAAAGATAACTCACTAGACATAACCCTTTGAACAACATAATTGATTTATATTTTTAGCATTTTTCTGAAATGTCTTTACTAAATTTGAACTGAATGGGCATGATTTTCCAATGCCTACATGTCTTGGTCAAAAATGTTTGAAAATATGAAAAAAATTATTCAGGTATAATTTGGGCAACTTGAAGATAACAAAAGGTAAATTTTGACATCAAGGGTTAAGAGGTTATATATGGGGATTTTATCAAGGTAACATCGAGTTTGATTGTAAAACTAAAAAAAAAAATTTACTGTGGAAAAAAACACGTATAGATTATATACCGGTACATATATTCTAATTTGTATAAATAATACAGAATATTAGATCGTAGATTTACAACAACAATCTATGTTCAAACTAAGAATCTTACAAAAAAACAAAAATTATTATATAATTGAACTTTGAGGGCACCCATTGGTGCAGCTGATTTTTATACCAGTACCATGCAATGTATTTCTCAGTCTGACTTTTAAGCCTGTTGGGCTGGACAATTCTATGAGTTGCAGAACACAATAATAAAACTCCTAACAATTACTACTTATTTTTACAATATAAGTTCTGAACAAAAAAAAACTATAACTGTAATACCTGGTGGAAAATGCTTTGAAATGTATGGAATATACCATTATAGATGTGCTCTCCCGTAATCTGGAATGCTAGCCTGGCTCGTACCATGTCAAGAGGGTAAGTAAATGTCACAGCAGTTATACCTACAATGATATCACAGAAAACTTATGTTGATTGAAAGAATTTACTGCAACACAACATTTAGTCCCTCCAACCAACACCACATGTACTGCAA